AGAAAGTCTACTCGTTAAATTAGCATAGATAGTAAAGAGGATTTTGATTAACTGTCAATCTCAGATATCCAAATTGTTGTTGAATAGACTTCTTTAACAATAATATTAGTCTAATATGACCACAACAGGAAGTCCACTCTGTGTTTAGCAATACACAGTACAGAGAATTTTGATTGTTTATCAATATCATTTTACATTGGATTCAAAATTTCAAGACATTACGTTTTATGCATGCACTGACTAGGAAAGTTTAATAATAATAATTTTGGTACATGTTTTATGTTATGTGTTGATTGGACTTTAGTTAATAACAATTATACAGTTTAAAATTCATATTATAACAACTTGGTTATAATAACTTATTCTTAAAGAAAGCAGAATAATGCAATTATTTCAATAATTGTACCTTGACCAAAACCAAACTTGATGCAATGCAATTAATGCAAAAAAAAATGTATTGCATTTTTGTCCATATTTTTGTCTTTGGTTGAGGTAGGTGGCACTTCTGACAGAAAGAGTTGGAATTTGCCAGACCACCAGGCACTGCAATCACTTTGTATTTTTTTTAATATTATTTTCTCTTACCCTGAACTTCACATGGCGAATGGTGCGAAGGTCTGGATCTGTGCCTGCATGTACTGATTGAAAGCGTGCCATAGCAATATCATTTTTCGTTCATAGGTCTAATCTTAGATTTTTGTCAATGTCAAAAGGCAAAATAGTAAAATAACTAAAAATTGCAAATTGCAAGTGAAGTGCTGCGAAGTACAACTGCATATAAATGTTCTTTGAACAAAATTATTTGTGCGAGTCAAGTGAAAATAATGAATAATAAAAATATAACAAATAATATGAGACACGACCCATTGTCTATATTAGAACACTTCTCATTGGGTGACAAAGTCGTAATTTTTCATTTTTGTCAAAAAGTGTCTATAGTGGTGAATTATGGTTTAGGTTTTTTTAATAAAGTTTCAAAAATTGTTATGTATGTGGAAAATGTAATTGATTACCAAAGGTTACAATTTTTATTTTGAAGACTGCATGGTCTAGGAAGTGTACATTTTTTTATGGGGCAAGTTTCCAAGGGGGGTTTTCTAGGGGCGAGTACTGCCAACGAGTGTTGCCAAAGTGCGAGCCAGCGTGTTATTTGATCACAAGTGCGAGACATCACAAGTGTGAGCCAGCGAGCCATGACGTCACGACAATAGATATGAGACATTAACGAGTTCTGCGAGGTATCGGCTGAGATTTGTGGAGTACAATTCAAAAAACAACTATAGGTCTAATAATTATTGTGATGTTAAATAGACAATGTTAGCTATCAAGGAGCGACGTTGTTTTTCATTGGGACCTTCGTCCCTTCACGGCTAGGCCTATACCATCCTAGCTAGTCTAAGCCTAGAGTAGGACAAAGGCACACAAATAGATACATTATATAGTTTACAAATTTTTCAGGTAATACCCCTGTAATCTGTGAACATTAACTGATCTAACGACCCACTGATTTTTGTAAATAATCATCGTTACGGTTTTGTAAAACTGCCCTTGTTTTGTGCTGAATTTGATTTTTAAATTGTTAGATTCATGAAATAAATGCTGGACCTATTATGGAGGTTCAATTCCTCTCATGGTAACAGAATATTTATTTCATGAAACGAAAACAACTCCACTCCCTACTGTAATCATCAATAAAATTCAGTCTATTACAGTACCGTATGTGGTGTAGGTTTGAAAATCTGTCAACCTTGAGAAATTTCAAAGAGTAAGATCGAGTGACACATAATTTGTGCCGAGGGCACAAACAGTGGCTGGGGGCCAGGGGCCACCAAGTGCTACTGGTCAGGGTCGCTTTGGCTTAAATGGCATATCTAATCGATATTTGTGAGTTTAAAACGATCTCAGATACAGTGGTTAATGAAAGATTGTTTAAGATAACGAAAGGCATCTACCCTTTCTTATGTTACACCTTTTTTGCATTAGATTCTCTGTAAAATCTCAGTTTAATGTATATTTTTTTTATATATGATGGATATTCCCAGAATAAAAAACAGATTAACTGATAACATTTGATTTTTGTTTTAAAATTCATTACAAATTTTAAAAAAAAAAAAAAATTTACTAAAATTTTAGGAAACGTATGTTTTGCCGGTGTTTGCGTAAGACCGTATGATATGATAGGAATACGTAAGACTTGCGGCGAATGCATATGTGTTGACAGGTCTGTGTTTGTGAATGCCACGAACAAGCGATTAAGTTTGCTGTTTGGTGAATTCTTAGCATAGTCTAAAACATTCATTCTACACTAGTTTGACCTTTACATTTAGGTACATTTACATTTAAATAGGTTATGAGAAGATGTGTTTCACTGCCTTGGGACTAAAGCTGTAAGCATTTGTTAAGAATATTCACAATCCATTACTATTCATATGTTTTAAACACATTCAGAGAAATTAATATGGATTTCTCCAGGCTGAATATCATATTTCTGAAATTTTAATCTACAAAGATTTTTCATCTAGTCTCAATACATGTACTTGTACTACAAAATAAATATTAAGTCGTTATGAATTCATAACATATAAGATTGTTAAATAGTGACTTCATCATTGAATCTAAGTTAGGTGGTTAAGGTAATAGACTATGAAGCTGTGGTTGAGGTACCAACCATTCAATGTGGTTTAATTCAGTAGGTACCAGCCTACGGAACTGTGGTTTACTGTAGGTACCAACCATTTAATGTGGTTTATACATGCTTAAAGGTACCAGCCTACAAAACTTTGGGTTAAGTACCAACCATTTAATGTGGTTTAGACGTTCTTAAGGTGCCAGCCTACAACAAAGCTGTGGTTTAGGTACCAACCATTCAATGTAGTTATAGTGGTTGTACCACCCTACAAAGCTGTGGTTTAGGTACCAACCATGCGATGTAGTTTAGGAGATTAAACCTAGAAATCCGTCCGCGTATTTCGGAAATAAGGGCCGATTTCTGCGCAGATTTTGCTGAAAATTGGGCTTTGATCTAATCTTATGATACAACCAGTGTATTATGTAGTAGTTAGGATTCTGCACATCTATTTTCCTAGAGATTTTCTGAGAAAATTTGAGTTACCGTAGTTTTTGAAGTATCATCCGCGCAATTAAAATTCTTTACTGTAGGGCAGAGTTATTTGCAAGCATAATAGAAATGCCAAAGATTGGGCACAGGTCTCGGTGTTAAATCCTTCGCTTTGGCCCACTGGCCCATTATGCACACCCCTTGGTATACTTTTTCTTTTTTTATATATTTCAATATAATTATTATAACAAAATATTGAATAAAATTGAATTGAAATTGAATTAAAATAAACTTGAAACTGATAATTTAAAAAATGAAATTTGTAAACAAGAAATATTTCCTATAAAAAAACGCTGCAACTTCTCTAGCTTAGTTAATTTGTGTATACAGTACAGCTACTTCCAAATTTATCCTATGTGTAAATTTTGTTATCGTATTTAAGTTTGCTGTTTCAATAAATAAATCTGTAACTGTATTTTCTTATAGATCATTAAATATAGCCCTATAATTATCTATTTTTAAGGATAAGCCTAATATTTTACTGCAATATGCATAATACTGTATATGAATTAAAGATTATTTTTTTAAATAAAATTTATGTTAAAATAATAAAATGATAAAACGAATATGGAATTATCAAAGGGTGGGTTATCTAAGATTGTGGGTTTGTCTGGGTTATAATCCCATATGGTAGATTAATTAAGCTATCACCTAGACTCAAGGCTCGACCACGTTAATACCTTTAGAGGCTTCATCATCAGCTATTGTCGGTCCACTGCTCGACAAATTTTTCGGGATTTCGACGCCAAATCCATCTTTTTCTTTTGCTGTGTTGCACCATTTCACTCTTCTCCAATGAATATCGATCTCATCTCTTAATCTTTTAAATTGTTTTCCCTCGTTCGTTTTGCCATCCATGGGGGTCTGTTACTGTTTGTTCAACAACCAGAATGAAAACCACAGAACCAAACCGCATTTTTTACCATTATTGTTATTAATATTAATAATAAAAATAATATTAAATTTCATATTATTTTATTTATTTGTATTCATTCCCCCCCCCCCCACCACTAGCTTCGCTAGGCCTGTTACCAGTGCTGTGGCTATTTTTTTATGGGTCGATTAAACATGGGTACTGTATGATATCTCGATAACACTTAGCCTATAACCATAACCCTCTTCAGCATAAGGCACCATATTTTTCGACATTAAATGTAGAATACCCTGGCTCTAATACTTGTCTAGTAGTAGGCCCTAGGTTGTGTCGTCAGTTTCTGTCGTTATTTTATGGGATTGTCAATGCATAGGTCTACGTACGTAGGTACGACGATAGAGCCCAATATACTTTTTTTTGCGATAATTTAATTATAATTCCCCCCGACGAACACTGATGAACTGGCTGTAAAGATAGCCAAAATAGATGCTTTTGACCCGCTCGAGTTCTCATTATTTTCCATCCATAAAGTATAGTTTTCCCGTTTCTATTTCATACCCTCTTTGCAGCCGCTGTTTGGTTCCTAAGACAATTTTTTTGGTAATAATGCCCTCTTCGCAGCCGCTATTTGGTTCCTGAGACGTCTTTTTGATAACTGTGCATGCTCGACATGGCTCGATAATGTCACTTACTCAATGCACATGCTCACTAGTTGTCTAGCATTTCCAAGCGCATACTCACTATGTTTTTATAGATAATTCACGGACGTTATTTGGAAACTGCGCATGCGCATTGGATAGTTCGGAATTCCATTTCTTCGTAGTAAAGCTATCGCTACCTACAGTTTCTTAATGACTATTTCCTCTTGATCATTACAGCCTAAAGTGCGGCGCGAAAATGCTATGGGATATGGAGCAATAGCAAGAATATTCTCTTTTTGTTTGTGTCATTCACATTTAGTTTTTTTTTATATTTCAATATCATTAATTACTTCCAGTAGATACGTACCTGGGCTGTTGATATACATATGAATTGGTTTCTTGTTGCTTTCTGATTGTAAAAACAGCAGCTGTGCTATAACTACACTTGAAATATCATCATGTATCTACAAAGAAAAGTCAAACGAAAATTTATAACTTTGTGCTTTGCAGTAAAATCACTAACCTTAATCCTAATTTAAATTTCCTACGAATATTTATAATCTAATAAAAATGTAATACCACCATCAATGAATAAAGAACGAACAAGGCATAGCCTATCTAGAGCATCACTTTTTTGTGGAGGTTTGTTATTATTGGAGTGAAGTTGAATAGCTTGGTGGTAAAGATGCTCGCCTTCCAATCCCAGGATTCTGGGTTAAGATTCTGCCAGACTCCAAGATTTTTTTCTCTTAATTGACAAAACAACTCCACTCTTTATGCCTAGTTGATATACTAATTTGAGTAACGACAAAATGTTTGTGCCGATTTACCATCCAGACGCGTGCACACTTCTGGAAGAAATGTATCGAAGCACCATTCTTTTAAATGTCTTTACCATTATTGGCATACTTTGAGTTCCTATTTACGTCTCTTATCGTAAATAAATAATTTTACAATAACACAAACCTACAAAATATTGAACAAAATATTGTCACACTACAAAAGCCACATATGTGCGAATTGATTATTCAAATTATGTTAGTACAGTACAGTTTAAGGAGCAGCAATGTATTCAGTATGTACGTTTAAATGGAACAGTATTCAATGCTTTGAATATCCTGTTATATAGCAATACAATATAGCAAATAAAATTTGTCATCAAGTGCTCCAAATCTGTTAGATATGCCATCTGGTTTAAGCTCAATGATAAATAACATGATACCGTTCTTAGAAACACTAACAAATACTGACATGTCAAATGTACAACTCATAAAATTATGCTATTTATACAGAAGTTCCCTTCTTTCTGCAACCCCTCCTGCAAATATCTAGACCCGCCCCAGTAACTTACGGCCTCACGAAAGGCGTTTTCGAGAGTGAGATTTAGTATATGTAGAGCATCACATGTATATTGTCATGTAAAGGGATTGCCACATCCCGGCAAAATTTCAGTTTTTAAGAAAAATCTAATTTTTGTATAATGTTATAAAGATTTATAAATATAATACGGAATTGCTAGTTTAACTGTATTTAGACATTCCTAAGAATGAAAAAAATGTAAAATAAGACTGAAATATGATTTTTTGTGTTCCACACAAAAAATAAATGCGGATGAATTTTTCATGTTGATTTTGCGATAGGTCGTCAGAAGAAATATCGTAGGCACCGAAAACATTAGCCTATCCAACGCTGCTAGGCTAGGCCTAGCCTTACCTCGATTTAGGTTCTGTTATCACACATAAAAACGGCCGACATGATATTTTCCGTTGCTAGTATTGACACTTGTGAATATAATATTTCACAGGAATTATTTCAAATTTGTTAAAAAACTGATTCTGACTGAGATTTTGACACTTAAACAAACATATCTTCGTTAACCGAACGACCGCATTGTGCGAGATGCGAAGTACAAAAACTAATCTCATTAGAGAGGGCGCACTTTATTGACTGTATAAAGTATACATAAAAGCGAGAGTATTCCAGTGGATGCGATCTACAACCTCTGAATTTGCCTAGTAACGATGAATTCGTCGAGAAAATGGTAATATTTTATGAGAAAGTCTGTATTTCTCATTTTTTTTAATTCTTTTGCGTAAAACTAAAATTCCTGCCAATATTTTTCCATGATTTATAATAATTGGAGTAATGCAAATGTATATTTTCTAAAAAAAAGTCAGTTTTTAGTGAAATTTTGCCGGGAATGGGGCTTTAAGTCGCTATTTGTAATCCCCTGCCATGTTCCTAATGGAATAAAAAAATTTAGATTCTATATTTTATGATTTGTGCACATTCACACACAAATACTACAACTTAAAGACCACGTATACAGTATATAAAAAAAAAAAAAGATGTAAAGATCTTTGTAAAAAATTTGCCATCATGTGCTCCAAATGTGTTAGATATGCCGTCTAGTTTAAGCTCTGATAAATAACATGATATGGTTCTTAGAAACACTATTAAACAAATACTGACATGTCAAGTGCACACCTCAGAGGTATAAAAATAGTGAGATACATTTATACTTAACAAATCTGTTCAACAATAATCAATATTTACCGAACCTGTCCATCCCAGTAGTTAAGTTGGCCTATAACAATTAGAATTTCTACTTTCAAATATATATTTTATTTTATTTTACTTCAATCTGTTCAGGCAGTTAATTCTTATGCAATAAATTAATATTTTCTTATAATCAATTAATAAATAATTTTTATATTCTTTAATTCTCAATTTTGTAAAAACAACTATTTTCTCTATTAGCTTGGTCTGTTGTGCAATATTTCTTTTGTTAATGTATTTTTGTGTCTTTCCCTACATTTTATGTCTTTCTATGCTTTTTATTCATTTTCCCCCAATTTTAATCTTTCTCTTTTTGCTTGTGTCATTCATATTTAGTTTTTTTTATACTTCAATATTATTAATTACTTAAAGTAGTACAGTATCTGATAATATTAATAAAAATTTGTATTTTGTGTGTATTTAATTTAATTGTAAATTTGATGAAATTAAGCATACACTGTCTATCAAATATTACATAACATTGAATTGAAATTGAATTAAAATAAAAATAAACTGATAATTTAAAAAATGAAATATTTCAATTTGTAAAAAATGTTCTGAGATATGTAGCAATAGCAACAGTACTCTCTTTTTTCTTGTGTCCTTCCCATCTAGTTTTTTTATATTTCAAAATTAATAATTGCTTTCAGTAGTATCTGATAATATTAATCCAAATTGTATTTCGTGTGTATTGAATTGTATTGTTTTTCAATGTTTTTTGTCTTTTTTGCGTATTAAATTTTCATCAGTAAATTGGATGCAATTCAGCATGAATAGAATTGAATTGGAATTGAATTGAATTGAATCAAAATAAACTTGAAACTGTTAATTTAAAAAATGAAACATTGCAATTTGTGGAAATGCTATAAGATACGGAGCAATAGTAAGTGTATGTATACCAACATTATAATTATTATTATTAATTTAATTTTTATTCATTTCATTTCATTTCTTCAGGCATGAGCGCCAAGGATATGCCAATAAGTGAACTTAATCACTTTCCTACGTGGCATATCGATTTAACAACAGGGGACTTAATGGACCAGTACACTGGGGTAAACCCTACTCTTCTCGAAGAATGTACTGGGTTCTTTAAAGTGCACACGAGCCAAATGCGTACACAGGTCCTTCAGTTTAAAGTCCTTATCCGAGAAGACTTGTTCCACCACCGGAACCATTGGCAAGTGAGCCGTTTAAACCAGCGCCGATATTAGAGCTGAAGGTTACGGTGCCCCTGACATAACCGCTCGGCTAATCAACTCGCCAATCATATAATAATTATTTATAAAATGAAACTGAAACTTGAAACAGATCATTTTAAAATTGAAATATTCTAATTTGTGAAAATGCTATAAGATATAGAGCAATAACAAGAACACCAACATTACAATTATTATTAATTTTTATTATATTATAATTATTATTAAATTTTATTATAGCATAAATATTATATTAATTATTATTATATTATACATATTATTAATTTTTATTATATTATAATTATTATTATTTTTATATTATAATTAATTTTTATTATATTATAATTATTAATTTTTATTTCATATAATTAATATTAATTTTTATATTATAATTATTATTATTAATTTTATATTATAATTATTATTAATTTTATTATATTATAATTATTATTATTTTATTATATTATATTTATTATTAATTTTATTATATTATAATTATTATTATTAATTTTTATTATATTATAATTATTTATAAAATGATACTTACAGGGCCCATCAAACAAATAATTCTCTCCTTTAAAAGTCTTGAATAGATGTCATACGCTCGCTCGCCTCGTCCCTTTAAAATACAGTATAACACCATTGTTTCAATTTAAAACAGTAATAGTGTTGTTAATAACAATAATTAATGATAAAACAAAGTACATTTGTTCAATGGACAAAGGGAAAAAAATTAGCTTCGAGGTCTGAAGATTGTTTCCAGTGGGGTCCTCTTGGCGGTGAATTTGGCGGTACACAAGGAGGCAATCCTCTGCTCTTTACCAAATAGAGCGCTGGCCACATTGCACCCAGGAATGACAGCTTAGATGTCTCATTAGTAGTAGTAGTAGTAGTAAAACTTTATTCACGAAGCACAAATCAACAAATACATGCTGTTTTTCATTATGGCCGTGAGACACCTTATTTACAATTAACAAATTACACATAAAGGTACATCATAAAAAGCAAAAGTTAAATGCAGAAATTAAATAAAATAAATACAAAATATAATTATTAAACAGTACTGTATGCCAAAGTCAACAAATTAATAAAATAAAAGTACTGTAATCTATACCTAACAAAGGCAAAATAAACTATGGAAAAGAAGAAAATCCATTCCACAAAAGTAAACAGAAAATTACAGTTTAAAGGAATGTAAAATATAAATAAAACAAGGCAAGAAAACATCAAAATAGGGATTTATACAATGTTCATACTACTGTATTTAACTTTGGTTTCATTAATTATTAGTACAGATGTGGTTTTTGAAAATAGTTAAATTGGTAGAAGACTGAACATCAGGGCTTAATTTATTCCATTCAATAGCACCACGATATGAGATACTTCTTTTTTTGTAATTAGTCTTTGGTTTGGGAACATATACATTTGTTTTACTTTTATGAAAGTGGTATGCTATTGTAATGTTAAAGGTGGTATGCTATTGTAATGTGTTTTTTTTTCAGCCCTCTAGTTGAAACATATGGGGAGTAGTGACTGAAATTTAAATTAATTTAATTTTTAACGACTAACAGTAATAAATTATGTAAATTTAGTTGGGTACTTTTTAGGCGGTAGGTGGTAGGTGGTTGATAGAACTTACTCACTGTTGCTTTAAATGTCAATTGAACTCACTGAATCTGGGGCGGATCCAGGATTTTGCAAAAGGGGGGGGGGGCATTTTCAGAATAAATAATTGTGTAAGTGCCTATTTCAAAATTAAACAAGGGACAAAAGATTGACAGTTATAAACTATGTCAATTTAACTGGGGGCTTAATGCGGTTGGTAGCTGGTAGAACTTACTTACTGTTGGATTAATGTCAATTAAACTCCCTGGGTCAGGGCAGATCCAGGACTTTCTCATTTCACAAAAGCACCCAAATGGCTGGTTTTGTCAGAGCTGGCCACAAATCACACATTGGTTGGAGATGGTAAAGTTGGTGAGGCTGAGCTTTCAGTGATGGGTTGGGTGGGGCTTTGGCGTAACAAAGAGGTCCAACACCTGTGGTTAAGGCTTCAGCGAGCCCTACTACCCTAAGGAAGAAAAGCCCCACCTGCTTCGGTGTATTTGACATTTTAAGAAAGTATTTTGATGGGTTTTTTTTTACAACTTAAAAAACGTTTTGGGGAAAAAATACCGGGCTTCTGGCTTAGGCCAGTGAGAGCTCAACATAGCTTTTACTTTCATTTCATTTATTATTTCCAGGAAATATAAAATACAAAAAAACAAAGACACAGTCTGAGGATAACCTAAAGCAAATTTAATTGTTATCGAGAGATTCTCCAAACAGAAACTGTTTGGCAGAGCAGTTACTCACTGTTTGTTCAATGACAATTGGAACCATTGGTAAATTATGTTGAATACTATGATGAAATGATCTCCATTGCAACAGACCTTTACAGCAATTCTGAAAGCAAAAAAAAAAAGTAAGCCTATTATTTCATGATCCATAACTAATGGTAGTGGCATTTTGGTCTTAGGCATTTTAATATCAAATGTGGAAAGAGATCTTCAACCAATAGACCGAATTAGTCACCAAAGCTGATGACATCACGATTTCGTTTAGTGGGTATAGAAACACCTACATTCGCAATAGTCCTATTCTTATGTATTATTATTATATTGTAAGTGGTATATACTAAATTTTCTAAAATTTAATGGAGTTAGAGTAGAAGATGCTTTTATAACAATATATACATTTTGAATGATTCATATCCATTAGATTAGGATCGATTTGATCTACATTTCCATTCAGACTAAAAATATGAAGAGTTTTGCAAGAGGCCTACTAGGGGGCCTAGGTCCATAACTTGCGGGACTCGCCACATTCAGCCCTGACTAACATGCAGTATTAAAGGCGATCATTTTTTATTTACAGGTACACATTGAGCTTCAATATACTGTCATCAAGTCATTTTGTTGCATTTTCTGGATGTAATTTTTAAACTATTGGACAAACTTAAATTGTTGAATTGTAGAATTTAAGATGTTTTTTTTGAGTCAGAAGAACATTGTTTGTATGACTCTCTACCTATAGTAGGCCTAGGCCCATGTTCACGCGACAAGGCTATGCTAACTATGTACAAAAATGTTCAAGATTTCTATATGTTTCTTTAACTCCACTTCAAATGTAACGGGTCAAACTTTGAGAATTTATATAGGAACAAGCCTTTTCGATAAGTTAATTTACATTAAAATTAATTAATTTATGAGTTTGAGGCGTTTCAAGAAGTCAAGATTTTATTATACTGTACTATTAATTGTGTAAAAAAATGCCAATACAGTATGTTTTCATGCTACACCGACTATTCGGTCTATTGTTATTCCTTTTTATTTTCTGCCGAACAAAACATATCAAAAACAAATTGCTAAGGCTTACCATATGTTCACTTTGTTTAGTTTATATGGTACAGTAGGAAATTTGAAAAATGTGAGAATTTCTTTTAATGAAGTTATAAGGATCTACAGCTAAAAAAAAATAACATAAATGGCTCTTTATTTCATGATTTTTACACAGAGGGGGCTACATACAGAATTGACGCCAGCAAAGTTGGCAGGTATATGGGGGTGGGGAGTCCATTTTCACCGTTCCTGTTTTCTGATCTATGATAGGCCTTGCTTTAAAGGAAATACTAAACATGCTTAAAAACAGTGGTGACAGAAAATTTGAACAGAAGTCAATTTGTTGGGATTTTAAATCCCCCTTCAAACAGGCAATCCCCCTGTTGGACATGATATTTTGGACCAAAACAAGATTTGTTTATATTTAAAAATCCAAACAAATTGGGTTAATACATTCTAAAATGTCACATTTATAATATGAGAGGGGGCATCCGACACAAGTTTTAAACTCTTTTCCTCATATTATCACTTAAGGTAAGATATCACTAAAGGTATTATAGCTTGAAATGGCCAAAACCACCCAGTTCATTTATGCAGCAGAGGATGGCTAACTAGGCCAAAGCCTAAGACCCTGGACACACTAGGCCAGGGCTTCACCCTGGACCTCTTGCCGGAAAACCTTGTCATATATTTGTACCCACCTGGGATTCTACCTACCTACTTACTAGCCTATTTAGGGCCTTGGCCAGGTCTAGCACCAACCTAGAGTAGGGCTTAGGCTAGGCCTTCTTAGCCTTATATTAGAGGCCTGCCTTCATTACATTGATTGGAAGGAAGCACATCTAGGCCTACCTATTTATAACTATGTCATCATCAGGAATTCCTGATGATGACATAATTAATGTCGAAATATTGAATCCCAACACGATGGCGTGTATTTCAATACTTGGAGTATGTATTATACTTTCTTATCTGAGATTAATCAGTGGACCTTTCGGCTATTTATAACCGTTTGTTAAAAGTATGCTAGAATGTCACTTTGTCTGCATCTGTCTGTCACTGCGGCTACTTTAATCCCAATGTGTTGCCTAGACCATTAATTTTTATCTCTGGGCACCTAGGCCTACGCTAGGCTATGTCTAAGCTTACTGTCGGCCACTGTGTAGGCTACAGCACGCGCTCATCGATTCATATCGGTCCAGCTGACTCAACTGGGCCTAGGCTAGGCCTACGCTCAGCTCTGTGACTGTCTGTAGCCTAGGCATAGGCCTGGGGGCCCAGGCCTACCAGAACAGAAGGGCCTTCTCTAAGCTTACACCTACGACAGATAATAATATTTGTGATTGTAATTATGTTCATTTATGGAAGTTAATAATTTATTTTCCTTATTACCTTAACACTTCTTGCCCTAAACATGACTTTAATTATAGCTACAAAGCAGTGTGGATCTCGACTCGTGCCGTGTGTGTGCAAGTTTTGTTTATTTTAATCGAAAATAGAGGGCGTAAATCAAGTTAAATTAATTGCATTTGATTCGGTTAGCTATAAACATTATACTTTCACAAATTTCTTTCATTTGTTATTAAATTACTAACAACAACATTTTTACTTCCCTGTAACATCTTTTGATGTGTAATATTCTTTATTTAATATTTTACTTTCTTTAATATTTTTGATGTGTTTTAAACCTTTGAACTTTTTTATATCCTTTAATGCCTTTATTATGTGTAACGTTACATATTTAATGCGCGAGTCCTTATTAATTTAGTTAAGTTCCCTTTTATATTTATATTTATATTCATGCTTTCAAATCTTTATTTCCCTTTTTATGAGCTTTCTGATGTATTTTCTAATCTAAGTATTGTTTTTGAATTAAAATTAAGTTTTAATGTTTTGTAGAAATGTTTGTGTTGTTCGTCCAAAACTATGTTTTTAGTGAAAATGCATTTATTTTAAATATTAATAATAATAATAATAATAATAATAATAATAATAATAATAATAATAATAATAAATAATAATGATCATGAATGAATGTACAGCATTGAAACACAAGTCTTATTACACAGAACAAAGTTCTGATTGTGAGTAGGCCTATACGATAGCTTCACATTTATAAATACAGTACTGAGTCTCTAAAGTGTTACAGTAGGCCTACGTTTGATTTTGTTTAGGAAGATTATTGTAACCTACAACGGTCCGGGTCGCCACATGTTTGAACATTAATTACTATGTAAATTTGTCTTAAATTGTCTTAAAAGTGCTCAGATCAATCAATCAGTCAGTAAATCGTTCCTTTTGGCGCCATTCCAACAGTCGTTGCTAGTGGTGCCGTTCCAAACAAAAACAAAAAACAAAAAAAACAAAAAAACAAAAACAAAAAAACGATTATTAAAAAATGAAAATGAACTGACAAGTAAATGTGATTGTTTAATGTTCAAAGGAAATTTTTTCCAGAGCCTTGGTCCGGCAGTGATGGAAGCCTGGTCCCCCAGCTGTGTTTGCTACCTATCTTTTACTGGTAGGCCTAATATAAAAAAGACCTATCATGAAAGTTCGTCAAAGAAAAAAAAACCCCTACTGATTGATTAATTGAAATGATAACTTTATTAGTTTCTTTAATAATAGTTTGTGATTTGTTAGTAACAAAAAATAGGCCTATGTGTACGAGTATCTGCCAAAATATTTTTGAAGAATTGAAAATTTACAGATATTGATTATCCTGTGAATGTGGAGACTTTATAAGAGATAGTTCAACTTCAATTATATTACATTTCTATGAAAGCTCATTTAATTGACGTTGCAAAGACAGTACCTGAATAGGCCTCCATTTTGAAGTGTCAATAAAATTGACAACTGGCCAATCAGAACAGGGACAGAAACATGGGCTTGCGATCCTCAAAAAAAAAAAAAAAAAAAAGTATTGTCCCACTATGGACCTATGTCCCACAAACGCAATTCTTGTTTCGTACGTTTACAATATTGAAGAGACGGGCTTATCTGAAAGGTTCATTGCTAATTTTGTATTGTTAAAATTTACTTGAAACTGGCAGTACTAGTACGGTAGGGCTCAAATAACAAGTCTTGTGGATGGTATCATTTGCATTATTTAATTTTATTTACCAAATAACATGTTATAGGCTCATTCCACTCACCGTCGCACACTCACACACGTCCATCCATGAGAGCAATATTACAGTGTACATCAATGGCATTTTTGTCATTATGCAGATGCAACACTTATTAATATTACGTGAAGACGGTAGTAAGAATACTTTATCAAGCTTGGCACATTAGTGGAGTAAATATTGAAAATTGGTTCAGTTTAAAGTTCAAAGTGTATCTCCGAAAAATTCACAGAGGCACTCTCACAAATATCGTGTTGTCATTTTAGTATTTTTATTTATTAAATCAGCAAACACATAACGGCCATAGGCCACAGAAGTTGTTTGGCAATGCCATTTCAAAGTCAATGGTTGTAAGTTGAAACCTCAAGTTGAAAGTTTCATAGCAAAAATGAAGTCCTTTTCCAGTCAGTTATTATAGTTCTAAAAATGTTGTTTGGCAATATGTTTCAAAGTCATTGGTTGTTATTTCAAACAGTCTCTCAGGTCGAAAGCTTTTTACATATTTTAAACGAAGTTTCATTTTTTCCAACAAGCAAGCAAAGTTGTTTGACAATGACATTTCAAAGTCATTAGTTAAGTTGAACAGTCTCTAGTTGAAAGTTTCTCAATAGCGAAAATATTGTCCATTTTCCAATCAGTAAACACAATAATGGCCTAATAGTTGAAAGTTTCTCAATACAGAAAATAAAGTCCATTTTCCCATCAACGAACACATAATGCCCTAACCTCTTCATCTGATGTAGGCTTACAAAAGTTGTTTGGCAATGAAATTTGAAAGTAATTGGTTGGTTGAAAGTTAAAACAGTCTCAAGTTGAAAGTTTCTCAACATCATTAAAGTCCTTTTTTCCAATCAGCAAACATAATGGCATAATCTCTTCATTTGCGCTAAGCCTGCAAAAAGGCATTTGGTTCAAAGTCAATTGTTGTATGTTGAAAGTCTGAATTTGAAAGTTCGACAGTTTCTCAATAGCGAAAATAAAGTAATTTTTAATCAAAACAAACACATAACGGTCTTATTAAATTGCTTTATGTGCTATACAGTAAGTCTAGAAAATGTATTTGGCAATGATGTTTCAAGGTCATTTGTTAGTTGAAACAGCCTCTCAGGTTGAAACTTTTTAAATTTTCAAAGCAAGATTTTCTACATCTGCCATAGACCTAAAATTGTTAGCCAATGACATTTCAAAGTCATGGTTGTAAGTTGATACAGGCTCAGGTTAAAAGTTTCTCAAATTGTAAAGCAAAATTAATTTTTTTTTTCTCGTTTTTTTTTTTTTTTTTTTTTTTGCCTTCATTTTTTTTGTTTGCAGTCAAAACTCATTGCGTAATTAAACTCTTCATCTGCTACAGGTTTACAAAAGTTGTTTGTTAATGACGTTTCAAATTTACTGGTTTTAAGTCGAAGAAGCAGGTTGGAGGTTTCTCAGTTCGCAAAGCTAAGTTCTTCTGATATTGTAGCTGTTGAGCATTCGTTTCCATGTTCTGGTGGTTCAATGACATCCAGAGGTATAAAAAAAAATAATAAATCCGTATTGCTCTTTTACGCAAAATGAAAAAGATCCCCGAGCGGCAGTATACATTTCTGTTCTTGCCGTTTGTAAGTGTATATACTTCGTTATTCGCCAACTGCCGTATCCATCTGCAGTAGGCCTTCTAAAAGGTAGAAAGTTTAATACGTTGGCCAATTCTCTGAAAGACCTCATTATTTTTTATGTCTTCTTGTTTAGTTGCTTATACGGTTGTGCTGTGGAACAGCTTCTGTTTGGTGATTATTCAGTTGTCTGCAAAAATGACATAACCGTACTTGATTTAATTTGTTTTTCATACACACGTTTCGGTCTAAGTATGAGGTACTTTTAAATTAATTACATTACAATACATGTAATAATAGTAAAATTATTTACTAAATTGTGATTTATTTATTCATTAGTACATAATACTATGTAGTACGCAATACCGCCAGTTAAAATCCATTAGAATGCAATAATTTGACATCTAAATACATCTATACAAATAAAGTTGATTAGGCCTACTTACTTTAATATTTAAAAGACGATGATTGCTGGTGATGATTCCGATCCGTTAAAAAGGTTTGTCGGGAAATTGTCTGTATTATAGGGGAGCCTATACAAATCAACAGTCTGGGGCTCGTTGATGACGACGATCAGAAATCCCCTGCTGGCTGCAGTCCGATGTGGGCTTGGCTAGCCGCTACTAGGAATAGAAGAAGGGCGATATGACTAGCTGCATATTCTTCTATTACATAATATTAATATTGCAATTATCCTCAAATAATGTAGGCCAATACAACAATAATGTTGTATCAAAGACAAACTTGCGTCTACGGGGGTCCTGGCTAACGGTATTAAGACGTATTAATGACTATATTAATATAAACGGTTTGGCATTTCATACCTACAGTACAATTAAGGGCGACTTCAAACGTGAACTTCACCAATTACCATGATGAACTCCTTGAGTATTCAACGCTCACTGTACATAGCACCTGTCGGTAAAACACAAAATTGTTTGTGGAAATACAGGTGTAAAAACCTGGATACGTATGCGTGCTGACTTGCATGAAGGTCTACCATAATTTGTATGTATTTCATACCTACAATATATTTGTCTCTTATACACATCTAGATTTGTATAAGAGACAGGGCTTACAAAAGTTGTTTGGCA